GCCCGCGCCGGGGCGGCGGAGCTACTGCGCCTGGGGGCGCGGGTGATCATGGGCTGCCGAGACCGCGCTCGCGCTGAGGAGGCGGCCGGGCAGCTCCGCCGCGAGCTCAGCCAGGCCGGGGCGCCCGAGCCAGGCCCAGACGCCGGCCGGGCGGGCGAGCTCGTCGTCAAGGAGTTGGACCTCGCTTCGCTGCGCTCAGTGCGCGCCTTTTGCCAGGAGATGCTGCAGGTGTGGGTCCCAGGGAGGCGAGCGGGCGCCGGACGACGAGGGCCGGGGCGGAGCGGGGCGCGGTAGGAGGGGCTTGGGAGCCGGGGAGGGGCCGCTGGGGCCCGAGGGGTGTGACCTTGGGAACCTCCCGGACGCCGGTAGGACGGAAGCAGCCCCTGCTAGGATTGAGGAGGAGAGGGATCAGTAGTGCCACTTCTCTCTAAGGATGTTGCGAAAGAAATGGGCCCAAGAGGGAAAAAACGCAGGTTCCTGAACATGTTGTTTTATAAAAAAGTCCAGGAGTAACTAAGGCCCTTTGGTCTCTGTGAATTGTTTTTTCTGTGCCAGAAATGAATCTATAGCAAATTCTTCTCAAAGAGCCCGAAAGCACTGGAGGAAACTTTCATTCTTTCTTGTTCTTTATTTCTTTTTTGCTGAAGAAGGGAGTACAGCTCTGTGCCACCAGGAGCACCATCCTTAAGTAGCTTCTGACTGCTTTTTCTAGCAGAGTGGAACTTGGAATCTTAGTGAATGTGCTCCAAATGGAGACAGGGATAAAAATAACATAATATCTAGCATTTATTGGAAGTTTCTGTAGGCCTGGAGCTAGTTTCTGTATGCCTGGAGCTATGCCAGACATTTCAGATAATGCTTTTTTAAAAAATGTATTTAAATTAAATGAAAGCGCTCTTGACTAGTATTGTCATCCAATCTTCACAATAACCTTCTGAAGTAGACATTATTACCCACGTTTTACAACATGGGGAACCTAAACATAGAAAGACTAAGTAGTCTGGCTCCAGAGCTCTTTTTTTTTTTTTTTTTTTTTTTTTTTTTTAAGGAACTGTATTGTATATTCCTGCTACCTGGCAATGAGGTGTGAGAATTTCTTGATGCAAATGGTAAATATTCCTCTGAAGTGGACCCCATTTGTTGAGATTGAGGTAGGAGGACATCTTGCAGAGGTGATTTGCAAGAGGGCATTCAGAAAAGTGAGATTTTAATATAACTGTCACAAGAAAGGTGCCTATATGAAATGGAGTCTTTCAAATCTAAAGCAGAGTTCCCAAACTTTCTCAGTAATTTTTTCATGACACTCTTGGGCTAGAAGAAATATCTACCAGTTAATTTACTTTAAAAAATGTCCAAACAACCCAATTATATATGCTCTAACAAATTAGTGGCTATTTGAAAAAATAATGCACAGAAATGAAACAAGAAAGTATTATTTTAATCATTCTTTTTTTAGAATTCATAATAGTGCATGTACACACACATGAGAATGTATGTGTGTCTATGAGAGAGAAGGAAGGAGAGGGGCACCCACCACAGGGTCTGGCCTCGTCATGATCCTTTTCCTTCAGTCCTTTAGCCATTTGGATCTTGGGCACTTGTGCACATGCTCTGTGTGTTCCAGGCCAACTGAGCCAGGATTCAGGATTCTAAACCCTGGCCCCAGGTGGGAGCCAGCTTCCCCTGAGCAGCTGTTTCATTCTCCAGCTCCCCACCCCCGCCCCCACCCCCAGGTATGTATGCTAGCCAGAGAGAGAAGGTAAGGGAATAAGCACTCCCAGTAGGGTCTAATAATGTCATAATTCCTTCTCCATCCTGTCAGGATTTGGGTCACATGAATCCATCATGTTTTCCAAACTGCTGGGCAAGGATTTTAACCAGTGGGAACCAGCCATGTGGGAACCAGCCCCCTTAACCACTATACCACATGGCCACTCCAGTAGTTCATTTTTAAATAATCATAATTACTAATGGAAAAAGTGTGTGCCTGTTGGTCACTACACCAACTTTCCAAACTTTGAAATCAAATTGGGTACCACCACCCTTTATTCCTTCTTGTTCCATATGAATTTTGAGCATTATTGCTTTTTGATACAACTCCTAAAGACTGAGCTCCACACAAAAATAACAGAAGTATATAGCACAATATAAAGCTGAAACTGTAAACCACCTGGAGTTAGTAGTTTTTGAGGTACTGAGCAGAAGATCACTGTGTTTCTCTCAGACATTTAAAATATTCTATAGCACCCCGGGAGTCATCTGTGATGCCCTAGGGCACCTTGGTGCACAATATGGGAGCTATTGCACATCTAGAGTTGTTTTTTATTCTTTTGTTGGTAGTTTTTTTATTATCCTGTAACATAGGTTAAAAAATGAAAATTGATACTTATCTATGAGAGACTTTGGAAGCATTGTAAGTGGGTCCTCCTGTTCATCATTAAAATGTGCATGGGATGGATTGCATCTCATTCCTGATACCTCTGGTACTTCAGCTACTCGAGGCAGAGCCAATTAAATGGTAAGGACACAAGAAAAAACTAAATTGTCCTTGCTTCTAAGTATTTATGTTCCTGCCTGGCTCTGCAATTCAGTGACTATAATTAGAAGAAAAAAAATGGACGTGTAGATTTCCCACAGGTTGGTATTCTTGGTATTTGTGTCGTTTATCTCGTAAAATTTAAAAAACAGTAAATGATAAAGTCTTAAAATAACACAAGCCCAGCAAAGAATGATGTCTCAGAAATGATTAATTCAGTAAAACCCTTCCAAAGGATTAGTGGAAAAGAACACTCCTTTCTTTCCCCTGTGGGTGAACTCTTGCCTTCTTTTTGAAGTTGACTATTGGAAAACCTAAAGGTGCCTAGACAGGCCAGAATGAGAAATAGTGGATGCTCTGACAGGTAGGTTTTGATAACAGTTGTGAAATATAACACATTTTCGTTTTCACTTACACGTGGGAAAAGGGCCAGTGAAATAAGAAATTTGACCTCAAGTTAATTTAATCATGGGTCATCACCATATCTCTATACCTAGAACATGGTGTGTATTTTTCCCCTCTCCATCAGAAGAGAGGTAGAGGAACCAAGAAAGGGCTAGAGGAGACCTTAAGGAATAAAAAGACTTTCCTATGAGAACAGTTTAAGTTTCAGGAGTTTAATTGAAAAGATGTGGGGGGTGTAGCCAAATACAGAATTCTGACTGCACAGATCTCCTAAGTTGAGACTGCTTGAAGCTTCGAAGACATAGTTTTCACATAAGGAATAAAAAGACTAACTTCTTGAGTCATATTAGAAGTTAAAGGTGATTTTTGATTCTATCTTCCCACCCACCCCCACCACTTTTATCTTCTTTTCTGTTATTGTGAGACTTAGTAGATATTAGTCACTGAATTGTTTCATGATAAATCTCACAGAAATTTTTTTCTTAATCTTTCTTTGATTTATTCATGTTCTATTTACTCCCCTATTGCTTGTGCCAGCTTTAAGGAAATGACACCCCTAGTGACATTCGTCCTTAGAGAACAACAAAATACCAAAATCTTAACTTTGCCCCAGCTGCTGGTACTAGCAGCTCGGAATAAGCAGTGCTGACCCATCTTCTGCTATACAGGTTTCTCTAGGTCACATCAACACTCTAGTTATGTTTCAAAAATCTCAAGTAGAGGGACCAGCAGGTAGCATAATGGCAGTGTCACTGGACTCCCATGTAGTCGACCGTGGTTTGAGTCCTGGACCCGGTGGCTTAAACTCACACCCGACGCATGCGTGTGCATGTTCAAGATCCCGAGAGGAGAACAGAGGAGAAGGGATTGCAGCATAGCCATCCCCCGGGGGGCGATTTCTCACTTTCTGTCTCTCTGTCTCTGTCTTTTTGGCAAGCACATGTGCCCTACAGCAAAAACCTCTCTGAAAAAAAAAAAAAAATCTCAAGTAGAAAGCCAAACCAGCTCATTAGTTAAGAGGAAAGTGATTGGTGTCAAACAATTTCTTCTTCAGATCTGATCTTGTTTTTTGTTTTGTTTTGTTTTTTCCACCAAAAAGCTCTGATACTGCTCAATCACCTTGGTGTTGAGCTTCAGTTTGCTTATAGAGTTGTCAGAAGTGGGCAAGGTAATATGTGAAAAGCAGAGAACCAATCACACATATAGCATGAGATCCTCTTTAATGTTTTTCCATTTTCTCTGCTTTTTTTTTTAACTCATAGAAGCATTTTATAGAATTTTAAGAGTTTTCAATTTAGGAGGGTTTTTTTGTTTGTTTGTTTTATCATAGTGTAGTCTAGTGGTTAGAGGAGCCAGATCCCAAATAGCCAACTGCATGGTTCAAATCCCAATCTCAGAGGCTTGAAAAACACTCTACGCATATGTGCTTATGTACTCAAAATCCCCACAGGATGGAGAAATAAGAAAGAGATTGTCATGACCACACCCAAAAATCCCCACAGGATGGAGAAATAGACAAGAGATTGTCATGACCACACCCATTTTGGGGGGTTGTTTTCTCTCTCTCTTCCTCTGTCTCTGTCCCTCTAGCAAGCATACTCTCCAGCAATACTTTTTTAAAAGCATCGTAGGTACATTTATTGTAATTTTTTTGGGGGGTGGGAGAGGTATTTTTTTTGCTGATGAGTGTGTGCGCTCACCAGAAAGACAGAGAGAGACAAAGAAATAGAAAGTGAGAAATCACCTCCCAGGGGGGATGGCCACACCACAATCCCTTCTCCTCCACTCTCCTCTCGGGATCTTGGGCATGCACACACGCACCTGGCGTGAGTTTAAGCCACCGGGTCTGGGACTCGAACTGCGGTTGGCTACATGGGAGTTCAGTGACATAGCCATTACACTAACTGCTGGTCCCTGATTTTGATGTGCAGTATTAAATGGTAACTCCCAAACTGATGATTTCCTAGTTCAACTAAAACTATGGGGGAAAAACCTGGAATCATAAGAGTGCCTCATCCTCAAATTGACTGTCTTTCTGTTTCAAGAATAAAGAAAGGATCAGATAGTAGTGATCAGATACTCAACATGCTAGTGAAAGGTCAAAAGTATAAGTATTTGTAAATATTACTAAGTTATAAAAGTGTAACTATTGATACATCTCTATGGGCTTATTACATGGTTAAATATTTTTCTGCATATTATTTTAATGAAAGTAACTGGTGAGTGAAAAATCATGAATATTTGTATTTATGTGAGGCTTATTCTACAATGGAATCCCTTTTGCCACTGATTGAAAACAAAAGTGCCATTGTTCCAAATAATTCTCTGATCCATAGACTAACAACTAAAAGTAAATACTTTTAGTCTCAAGTTCATTTTTTATTAAAACATACTTATCAGAGCCAGCAGGTGGCATGGTGGTGAAGGTGCTAAATTCTCACATGGCTGACTGTGGTTCAAGTCCTGGACGTGGTGGCTTGAAAATCATGCCAGGTGCATGTGCATGTGTGCCCAAAATCCTAAGAGGAGAATGAACAAAAAGAGACTGCAGAGTGGCCATCTAAACAGGTGATCCCAGGAGATAATTTCTCACTTTCTCCGTGTCTCTCTCCACCAAGTGTACATGTCCTCTGGCAAAAACCTAGGGGAAAAATAAAGAGAAAACATCATGAGCAGAAAAGGCAACTCAAGGTATGTGTTCATAATGCTGCCATTCTGTTTTTGATATTTAAAGGAAGAGCCTAGGCTGGACGTCTTGATCAATAATGCAGGAATCTTCCAGTGCCCCTATATGAAGACTGAAGATGGATTTGAGATGCAGTTTGGAGTGAACCATCTGGGACACTTTCTGCTCACCAATCTTCTCCTGGGACTCCTCAAAAGTTCAGCTCCAAGCAGAATTGTGGTAGTTTCTTCCAAACTTTATAAATATGGAGACATCAACTTTGAAGACTTGAACTGTGAACAAAGCTATAATAAAAGCTTTTGTTATAGTCGGAGCAAACTGGCTAACATTCTTTTTACCCGAGAACTAGCTCGCCGCTTAGAAGGCACAAATGTTACTGTCAACGTATTACATCCTGGTATTGTTCGGACTAATCTTGGGAGGCATATTCACATTCCACTGTTGGTCAAACCACTTTTCAATTTGGTGTCATGGGCTTTTTTTAAAAGTCCAATAGAAGGTGCCCAGACTACCATTTATTTAGCTTCCTCTCCTGAGGTAGAAGGCGTGTCAGGAAAGTACTTTGGAGATTGTAAAGAGGAAGAACTGTTGCCCAAAGCTATGGATGATGCTATTGCAAGAAAACTCTGGGATATCAGTGAAGTGATGGTTGGCATATTAAAATAGAACCAAGGAGTAAACCAGCTACTTATAGGAACCTAGATATCGGTTATATTTGTGATCAGGAATGGTGTGGCTTGAATATTTGTTATCTGGAAAAAACAATTTTGGTTTTAAAATAGCACTGCAAAGAGGTGCATGTGGATTTTTTTTTAGAAACTGGAAAGTCATTTTTTGGAATACAGAATTTCAGCAAAAATGTGTTAAATACATACAATAAGGGATAATGAATATAATAGGCAATACAATTATATTTTAAAAATTATAATTGGCAAGCACAAATTACAAATATTAAAGAGTTCGTAACTTAAAAGAAGTATCCTGAGAGGTTTTTTTTTAAGTATCTGCATTTTGTGGCCAAAGCATTAAAAATGTTTACTATGATGCTGGGTTTTGTGTGGAAATAATATGCCTAGTGTGTGCACACAAATCTTACTTGAAATAAACTTACTAGTGCAAATACTTAATTGTGTGTTTCTTTAGAAGCTTCTCTGAACATAGTCCTTTTGCATGTCATCACAGCCTATTCTAAGCCAGGTAGCACGGGGCTCTTCTTGGCACATTTTTTTGTATGCTGCTCCAAGAGGTAAAATTGCCAAAAGCCAAGTCTGCGTCACAGCGTCATATCGCTATTTAAAGATCAGCGATGATCGGCACCAGCAGTTGGTGTAATGGCTGTGTCGTTGGACTCCCATGTAGTCCACCGCGGTTCAAGTCCCAGACTCGGCGGCTTAAACTCACGTCAGGCGCGTGTGCGTGCGTGCCCAGGATCCCGAGGGGAAAGTGGAGGAGAAGAGATTGCGGTGTGGCCATCCCCCCTAGGGGGGGTTATTTCTCGCTTTCTGTCTCTCTGTCTCTGTCTTTCTGGCAAGCGCATGCGCCCTATAGCGAAAACCTCTCAAAAAAAAAAGAACTGTGATGGTTTTTCATTGCCCATAACAGTGGGTTTTCAGAAAGATTTTTAAAGTAAATTTCTTACTTTAAAAGAATTCTTACAAGTAGAGGCAGCAGGATGGGTGGAACAGGTAATAGCAATGCTGTAGGCGTGCAGTCCCTCCAGGCATTTCCTAAAAGGACTTTGTAGAATATAAGTTTCTAAACCACTTCTTTTAAACTCTGTAATATATACTTAGCACTCTCCATGAACCAGTGACTGCCTTACTTCAACTCTTATACCCAGGGCTGTACAGTAGAATTTCCTCAATAATGAGAAGGATTTTTATGTGCACTGTTCCATATGGTAGACTACAGACACATATCATTATTGAGTACTTGAAATATGACTGAGAACCGAATTTCTAACTTAATATAAATAAGTATATGTCTAGTGACTAGTATCTTGGACAGCACTTCTCTAGTTATTCAGTCCTACGTATAGAATCATCTCTCACTTGCCTTGGCCTTTCCTTATATTACTGTTCTTTCGGCCTGAAATCCCTTCTCTTTTACTTTGAGAATACTGCTTACCCTTTAGGTTCTTCTCAGGTGTATTTTTTTCTACAGTCCTTGTAGGTAGATATAATTCTTCCTTGCTACCTTGTTTCTATTTATCCTTGTAGCTTTACTAGGAGTTTAGTGCACTAATTATTAGTTCAGAGGCTCAGTTATAGAATTAGAATTGGAATTTGCCAAGGAAAAGAAATTACTCTTATAAATTTTCCTCCCTCGAGAATCAAGTATAGTACCTGACACACAGTAAACATTCAGTGGGTAATGAATGGTGTGTGTGTGTGTGTATATATATATATATATAAACCAAAGAGGGCCATTGTGGTTATCTGTGATATAGCATCAAAATGATGTACTTAATAATTTCAGTTATTTGTTTTGCCACCTCCTAATAGTGGAAAAAGAAATTATGACACTAAAGGACAGGCAGCTAAACTGAATTTAATGATAATTTTGGCCAGGAGTAATCATTGATTGATTGTTACTTTTAAGACTGTATATAATATCTGGTTACTAGTATCAGTTCTTTTCTAGAATGGCAGGATCTTGGCAGATCATTCAGAAAGTCTGTTTTCTGTTAGGGCATTGCCTTGTGAATGTGAGAAACACAGCATTTGTATCATCACAGGTGTGTCTCTGCAGGTGTAGTGGATATAGCAGCTTCATGTTCTTTGAAACATATTTTTAAAAAGTAATCCAACAAAGAGATCTGCTGAACTCAGAAATATGGGCAGGAAATACACCAGAATGCAACTTGGAAAAGTGGAAGCTAATAAATCTGTCCTACACCTCGACTTCATTAAAAAGGAGCCCCTTTTTTTCATTTCATACCATCTTTTCTGGCTGCATTTTGATACCTGATGCTTTTCAGGGGATTTGGGCCTTTTGTAAGAGTTGAGCCTTTCAGAGTTCTTGTTTGTGGCACCGTAATAAAGTAGCATATATTAATTTATCAAAATGGAGAGCTAGAAACTTATCTGGAAACATTATGAACTTTAAAAGATCTGCCATTTGGAAGATGTCCCTCCCACCACTGGGTTTGATGGAATGTAAGACTAGAACTCCAGCATCCCTAGTTAGTTTCTGAGGAGTGCTTAAGCCCTTTTCTACTCTATTCTTTGTTTCTAACCGTTTTCCTGACAAGGAAGCGTGTAAAAACCAATTCTAGTACTTTGACATTTACTTTCACCCTCAGCAAAGTGCTATTATAGGGAATCCCGTACTGTAATTATTCAGATAATAGAATAAGTGAGTTAAAAACTGATTTTCCATGCTGGTTCTTGGCTTTACTTTTTTATTTATTTATTTTTTTTTTTGGAGAGTTTTTTGTATAGGGCGCATGTGCTCGCCAGACAGAGAGAGACATAGAGACAGAAAGTGAGAAATCACCCCCCAGGGGGGATGGTCACACCACAATCCCTTCTCCTCCATTCTCCTCTCGGGATCTTGGGCACGTACGCACATGCAGCCGGCGTAAGTTTTAAGCCACCGGGTCCGGGACGCAAACCATGGTTAACTACGTGGGAGTCCAGCGACATAGCCATTACACTAACTGCTGGTCCCTTGGCTTCACTTTTTGAAAAAAATTGACTACTACATCAGCAGGTTGTTCTGAGAAGGAGTGATACTGTCGGGCCTTCTACCTCTGCTTCACTCCGTAACTATTCTGTAGTTGTAGTAGGGTATTGAGTAGTATTTAATTAGATGAGAGGTTTCCCAGTTTACAAATATCACCACACTGAGTTGGATTAAAGACTACTACTTACCTCTTTCTATTTGATCTTAGCAAGTTACTTAACCTGTCTGAGTTATTATTTTATTGGCTCTGTAGTTGAGATATATATGCATATTTTAAAGGATTACCCAATGAATGAATGTGACAGAGGTGGTAAAGCAAGTAGCAAAGCCCGACAAACATGTATCCTTAACCAATATACCTAAACCCTACCACTGAAAGTAACAGTAACTAGCAATAGTAACAGTTAGACAAGTACATATTATGACAACCAAACTTAACCAAGAGTTATTAAACTTTTTATAAAAGGCCAGATTGTAAATACTTAAGTAGTTCTATATATTCTTATATGCCCTTTAGCTAATGCATGACATAAATACTGTGGTACTTATGCAACTAGTACTAGAGTACTCCAAGAAAGTTCCTGAAACAAGGGGATAAAAATATGAGGCTATTTTGGTCCAAAAGACTAGAAATCTGTACCTATCTTTTTCATAATATGCATTTTCCACGAACTTGTTGAAGATACCCCCCCTACAGTCTTCTGAGCTTAGTGTACTCACTTGTTCACTTTCTTGTTTGTCTTTAAGACTGTGTATGGTAGTAGTTGCAGGTTATACTAGAACTTCTATTCCATAAAGCTGTGTTGTCTTTCCTTATCATTTCTAATCTTATATGACTATTTGCTTGCAGACACAGGAAGTCTAGCGAGTGTATTTTTTTAAATCTATCTCCAACTATAGATTCTGGTGTGAGGAATAGTAGTTATCTGCCTTCAATTCTCTTCCCTGACAAACCTGCTGGGCCTGGCCAGAGTTCTGAGAGAATCTATATTTGAATATTTAATTGAATCCAAATGTCCTAAGGAACACTGGAGAGAGAACATGTTACTAATCACTCTTCAGGAGATTGGCCCCCACAGACAGCTTCAGAAGTTGCACAAACCTTCCCTGGACAATGGGGAGTTAAATTAGTTACAGGTTAACATGGAGAAAGGGAGTTTATTCCTAGAGGAAAGTTAGATGGAGTGCTCAGTTTTATGCAGACAGTAAGGAAGAGCTTTTGCTAAGCCAGATGTTTAATCAAAGTAGACTAAATGTACGCTTAAGGAAGCATCATGTAACAGACTTGCTATAATAACTGATTCTCCACTCTTTTTGAAAACATGCTGACTGATGTGCATAGCATGTGAATGTTCTAGGCTGATGGAGTCCACTCTAACACACCCCAAACTCTTCTGCTCCCTGCTGTTCTATTATATTCTTGGAAAGAGTAATTCAAGTACTATTTATTTAACAAATATTTATTGAATGTCTGTTAAGAGTCAGTCATTATTTGAGGTTCTGTTGCAGGAGGCAACACACAACTAAACCTGTGTGTTCATGTGTTAGCTGTGTTTGCTATTAATCATAATTCAAGTTATTAAACATAATACAAATCAATGTAGTATGAGTACAAAAAGAGAGGGCCAGTCTGGCGGCCTGATCCTAAGGGATCCAGATCCTATGTGGCCATCTGCATGGTTCAAATCCTAGACCTGGCAGCAAAAACCACATTGGACACGTGTTCATGCATGCCCAAAATCCCAAAAGGAGGGAGAAGTGAAATACATGGGATTGCAGTATGACCACCCTCCGTTCCCACATGAGGTGTCTTTTCTCCTCCTCTCTTTCTTTCACTTAGTCTCTATCTCTGCATCTTGCAAGCACACGTGCTCTCTAACAGATTATTTTAAATGAGAGATTTTGGGGGACCAGCAGGTGACATCGTGGCTAAGGCACTGGACTCCCACATGGTGGACCATGGTTCAAGTCCCAGACCTGACCTGATCACTTGAAACTCATGCTGGGTGTGTGTGCGTGTGTGCCCAAAAATCCCAGGAGGAGAATGGAGGAGAATGGACTATGGCATGGTCATCCCTGCTGGGGGGTGATTTTTCACTTTCCCTCTCACTATCTCTCTGTCTCTTTGGCAAACACATGCACCCTATGGAAAAACCTTAAAAAAATTGAGATTTCTTTGAAAAGTAAGTTGAGTGCTTTGTAAAAACAAAATCAAGGGAAATCATTAGAAATGTACTGTTGAATAAAGTTTTAAAACAACTGTCAAACACTAAAAATATATATTATGAAAATATAAAAGTTGTCTGTAGGGCTTTGCAAGTGAATTTAAACAGTCCATTTTAAATATCTGAAAAACTGAAAATCAGATTAGACTATTAATATTTTGTTTTTGTAGAGGTTTTTGCTATATGGCGCATCCACTCACCAGA